TATCCTTTGATATTTTTGGATATTTTGAAGAATAATGTCATTTTTCGATGTTTCTTTTTTTAAATGTCAATTTTGACAGGTTAAGGAAATCACGTGACCTATTTTGTAGACGCCATTTGACATCATTTCTTAAACAAAATCTACTGCCAAAATCAAATTTCACATAAAACGATAAATAAAAAAGTTTCCCATTTGATGCGGACTTTATCGGTGACACTGTATATAATTGATTTGAAAGGGTTATATGTATCCATGTATAGAGTTACTTATTTTCAAATTGATTAATTCTTCCTTTCTTTGGAAGATTCTCTCATCCATTTTTTTGTATCAGATGGAGTAGTAGAAAGCCAAAAACTTTCTTTCCCAAAAAAAAAAAATGTATATAATTGTTTTTGAGCTCGTAACTGTTAGATCACAGATTATGTAGATGCATTTATAAATATCGATTTTCTATGAAATAGGTAAATGTTTCGGGAAAACTGAAACCAAATTCGTGTACAGCGATACAAAAAACATGGCAGATTCTCATTTGGAGGCTTCAATTTAATTGTTTCACATGATGAGTAACGACCTCACGAAGGGAGTCAATAAAGAGGTGTGTTGGGGTAATGGGGGGAACAGGGACCGGTGCCACATTGCTTTGTATTCACCTTTGTAGTCACGGATGATATTTGGAGTACAACTCAGATAATAATCCAAAAAACTGTTCATGAAAATAATTATACAATTTTCACGCTATACTAGTTCAACTGGTGAAATTGATATCATCAAGTACTGGGTCAGTAGAATCATAATCCAAAAAAGTTCAGATTCCACTTTCTAGGAATTTTACTAATTTCCTGATTTTCCAGATCGTCTAAAGATTTTTGACATACACTGAGCATAACTTTATGATATTACGATAAACAATAAATCGTTCGAGTAATTACCTACTGAAGAAGCCAACTCTTCTACTTTGGTTATGAAAACTTGATGGATTGTGAGCAGGGCCGTAGCGAAAAGAAATACCAGGGGAGGGAGAGAATCCAAATTTTCCCAACCCCACCAGCAAAATTTCCCAACTTTCGAAAAAATGAAAGCTGAGGGATCAGTTACTACTATAATATATTAATTTTCTTACTTAGCTGTTCTCATACTTGGGAGAAATTAAAATTTTTTGAAGTTTTCAAACAACACAGAATTTCAAAGTATGGGATCTCCAAGTTATGCATGTTGAGAAATCCCAACCTTCGCCCGGTTTTTTTCTCTTCAACTATTACCTCTCTCTTTATTTTCTCTCATTTCTATTTTTTCAATTTTCATTCATTTTTTTAATATTATTTTTTTCTATCTTCACGGCCCAAAATTTCACAACTTTTTCTCAAGTTGAATAAGCAGGGGGAGGCTCCCCCCATGGTGACGGCCCTGATTGTGAAAGCTTAAAAGGCCATATAAAATTAATTTTAGAGCTTTTCAGGTTTGGTTTGAAATAAGATTTGAATAAAAAATCAAGCCGTCCCGAATCTACATCATAAACATTTTTATGGGTGAAAAATACAATTTTATACAGGGCGTTCCAACGAAAACTTGACCCCCTCTGTAAGTCAGAAACGGACATGTAATCGAACATTTCAAAGAACACGTCAATTTTTACTTCTAGGGGGACTACTTCTGATATGGAAATCGTACCCGAAACTTCACCCCCCTGTGGTCAGCATATTTTTTTCAATGGCATGGGGGGTCGAGTGATACATCTAGTTCCATGCAATGATACCTAACATTATTGAAGTTGTCCGGAGTCAGAAATCGGCATTCCCCAACAAATCTAGATAATTGTTCGGGAATGCCGATTTCTGACTCCGGACAGCTTCAATAATGTAAGGAACGCTTTCGAAAGTAGATTGTATTATTGTATGGAACTAGATGAAAGTCATTTTGAATACTTTATCCGTTGAATTTTTGGTGTTGCATATTATCATTAATATCTATCATCAAAAATTGAGAGGTCTTTCATATTATAATGGAAAGAAAATGTTTAACCATTTGCCAATTTAGATCAAAGGCATAACATGTACCACTAAATTTAGAAAGTCTGTAAAAAAGCTTCTGATTTCAAAGGCCTTTTATTTTTTAGATGAATTCTTTTCAGACAGAAATTTGAATTATATAAACAATTAATTTTAATTATTGTGTTTCAGTACCTACTGGTACTTAAACTATGTGACTTTTTTAACTTTTTGTGCGATATTGAGCTCTGAACTGTATAGTTGAGAATGTTTACGAAGTTGATACTTACTTTTATTTTCTATGCATTCACTTTTATATTTTTATGCTTTATAGTTTTTATATTCTTATACTTACATTTATCTGTTGCATGAGAATATTCATTATTATTATTTATTTCAATATGTGGCATATTATTATATATTATTACTTTCTGACTACTTTTTCACCCCAAAATTCTGAAATCACCAAATGTTCAAATTTCAACTACTTTCAATTTGTATAACACTTTGACTATGATATTTTATCTTCGACAATATCTATTAAGTTGTGTATCTATTATTTTTTTGTCAGTGAGATTTCATCTTTGACAATAAAGTACATTTTGATTTGATTTGATTAGTATTATTGTTTTGCAGCGTGTTGTTATTGTGCTTGTTTTATAAGGCCTTTTGGTTTTAAAAGTAAAATTAAATGAGTCTGGAGTTTTATAATTTTGCTGTTTCTGTGGAGGGGTCCATGAGAGAAATAATAATAAATTGATTGATGAAAATGGTGAGTACAGTGTCTATGCCAGAAAAGACGTTACGAAAGTGCGTGTCATATGAAGACTGGTAATATAAACCAGTCAAAACACGTTTTAATGCGACTGAATTTTAAATAAGAATGAATGAAATCTTTCCATATTTTCTAATCATGTTTTCAACAACTACGAACGATAAACAAGAAAAAAATAGGTACCGAAGTTTATAAAAGAAAAACAGCCACCAAATTTTATTCATGAGCTTCAAAACTGAATATTTTAGTAACATACACAAAATTCGCACTCTTTCAAAATATACAAACCCGTCACAGTTTATTTTAGAAATATCGTGGGAGGATCCACCACAAGTGTTTAAAAAAATACGCACTCAAAAATGAATTAAATTTTGTAACCAAAAAAAATATAAACCTAATTGTTTACAAGCAAAATCTCAAAAGAGAACACACCGTTTTGCGCAGAGTGAAACACCTTCTTTACGAAGCGACAAGTAACAACTGAAAATCCTCTCGGTGTTGATGTATGAAAATCTAATTTTAGAACGACATTTGGCAACAAATTCATGAAAAATGTTCGATTTTCGAATAATACCATACGACCTCAATATATCTTTGCAGAAAAATAAACACAAGTGATTTTTTACAATGAATTTTGTCCGAAAATAGATCGCGGAAATGGCTAAAATTAACGAACGAATTAGTAGCGAGCCATCTTCTTGTGTTGGTTCATTACCAAGAAGTTTATTTTGATACCAACAGTATTTGTACTATTTTCTATTATTATTTATGTCCATGACGATGAGTTGATAATGAAGTTCTAACAAAGGGTTCACATTAATCTGAAGTATATTAATGAGAAAACTGACTCTTCACTGAGTTGAAGCGGTATAACGAAATAATATCTAAATCTAATCTAATATTGAAAAGACTTATGATGCACCTTTGGTGTAGTAATGAATATTACTTAAAAAGAATTAGCTCGCACTAGTTCTTAGTTTTAATCTTCCTCTTTGAAGATGATCACTTGGTGATCGAAACGTGTCGAGGTGTTAAAAATAACAATTTGGTGTTGGGAAAAGACTCCAATAATATTCATTTAATATTAAAGAGAGATATTTTTTGTTTGTATTGGATGAGCTCAAAAAATACTAGGCATAAAACTTTTTTTGCACTACAGGAAAATCCTTAAGGCGCTCCTAGAGCGGTGCCTGTGCGAAAATAGTGATTCACATTGGATTTGAATCGCTGGAAATGAAATCCATTTGGAAAAACGTTCTTAGGAAGTTTATTCCACACAAACGCCGTTCTTCAAACAGTGAAGTTCGAGGTGAACTGAGTTGAATCCCAAAGCGGTGAGCAGCCACAGGCCGTCACCTATTTCTGATATGTACCGCTCTGGGTGGAATCAAATGTGCCAAATCACTTGAACACTTCCTGTAAAAGTATACAGGGTCCTGCAACAGTGGCGCGGTGTTCCATATCTCTATATAGGAAGCAG